GATGGTGGGTATTGAAGGGCACAATCCTAGTGGACACTGTCTAATTGCATCAAAGATTGTTGACTGTGTCCCCTTATCAGTTTCTTCGAATGATAATCTCCCTCCAGGAAAGAAACAAGCTATGGATACGAATATTCATTCAATAGATCCCTCTCAGGAAACAAGGGAGCTCTCATTGGTATGTAAGCTTGCATTTCGTATTAGAAAATGAAATACAATCAGCATTCTTAGTTTACATTTTCCCAGGGAAACTAATTGTTTCGGATGTGATTAGCATGGATATGTCATTGGTTTATACTTTAGATGCTCACAGTATTGTTTCTTTTCTTATTTTTTCTGAAGGACGCTGCTGTGATCTTGCTCATGTTCTTATTCTTTTGCCCTTATATCTCTGATTATGGTTGACATAATTAGACTAGATACAAAAGTAGTTGGATTTTTCAGGACCAGCAATAGTTTCCATAATTGTAATGTACTAAGCTCTCTCAAGGAGCGGGGAATTATTTTTTGTTTTATATAATGAAATATACTGCTGTTAGTTTACCTACATGAAGGATATTGTTACGAAAGAGGGTTGAACAAATATTTAAAATTTAATATAATTGCGAAAAATTACTCAAGAGATACATGGCCTGCATCCTAAAATTTCTCTGTTCTTAAATTACTATATCTACTGTCACTATTTCTTGTGAATTCTGAATCTATTATAGGCTCACCCCATAAGGACCACGAATCTATTGTTAAGCACATAAAGTAATGAGCCTTTTTTTTCCTGTAATTGAGTCTTTGGACAGATTGTTGCTGCAGGTCCTTTTACCACAACAGATAACTTATTGTTTGAGCCTCTAGCAGAGCTTCTCGCCTATGCACAAAGAAAGCAACCTCAATTGATTGTACTGGTAGGAACTCCATGTCCTCATGATTTATATGATCAGCTTCTGTGTTGATAACGGATGAAGAGGAACATAACAATGTAATTTCATGAAATCTAAATCTTTGACAGTTAGGGCCATTTATTGATTCTGATCATCCCGAGATTAAGAAAGGATCTGTGCATCTAACTTTTGATGAAATGTTTCGCCTTCAAATACTAGGAAAGGTATACAAGTTTAAAAAATTATATGTTTGTAACAACATTGAGTTATTTATATCCTCATCCTCTTGTTCTCTCCCTCTTTATTGTTTATGTAGCTTCAAGATTATGTCGAATATATGGGTTCCACAGCACGTGTGATTCTCATGCCATCTGTCCGGGATGCTAATCATGACTTTGTTTTTCCTCAGGTGGTTTAGTTTAGACTTCCATTTTCTGCTACCCCTTCATATGCTGAATTGTTAATCGTCCTTTGAGATAGTACATCAGCCATACATTGACATATTCCTCTGTTTTACTTTGGCAGCCTGC